TAAAAGGCCTCATGACAGTTGGCTGTCCGCTTCCACAGGTCCCACATCGGCAGATTCAACCACCCGCTCCGCAGATGGAAATTCTTCTGAGGACTCTCAATTCTACATTGATCTCAGTCCTACAAACAGGTATGTTCCTCTTGAACAACTGCTCTATTTCTATCATCTGAACATTGTGACTTAGGTATTGATGGTCTGCCCCTCTTGGCACACTGGATGCTAAGAAGTTTACATACAAACATATGGCTCAAGTCTGGCAAATTATTCATTTCTGTGGTCTATAACCTCATATTTTAATATCAACAAGTGAGTTTCGGGTCAGTAAGAAGACAGAATTATATCAAATTTTACTGGCATGTGTTCTAATCCATTTCTGTTTTCAAGCAGAAGATATTACAAGAAGCTTTAACAACTGACGGAAAAATATTATATGAAAAAAACTTAGAAAAATTCTGTATCAATCCTTCTTTCTTTCTTTGTACTTACAATTTGTAGCTTAAACTTAAATGTTTTGAGTAAATATGTCAGAGGACAAAGAAATTTACTTAACAACATACTTCAGTGGATAGATTCACCACTCATTAAATTGTATATTAAGTCATATAATCATTAATAAACCTGAATAAATGAATGAATAAACAAACAAACCTGAATAAACTATTGGTATGTAGCAACATACAATACAGAGGTCAGCCTAAGCTTAAAGCCAAGACTTTCATGACACCAATAAAATGGAAATTTTAAATACAATCTGAAAAATAACTGCCAAGTTACTAACAGTAAAGAAAATCTTAGAGAAATTACCACATTCAAGTTTTAAAATTCTGAACCCAGACGCATATCAGAATCACAAGCCTACTTGTCAAGGTTATAAAACAAAACAAATCTAAAAAACAAGAAAACCAATCTTAGGATCATTCCACATTTGACGATGCTACTTCATCTTGGTTCTCAGAAAATAGAGAAATTTATGTGTAACCCAAATGAGAGTACTTTTGATTTTTAAATATTCAATGACTTCAGGATACTAGAATAGCTCTTAATTGAATTAATACAACTTTAGATGTGAAGAGCATCTTTATAACATTGACTAAAATTTATTTAATATTTTGGGAAGTAAACCAATTTTTTTACATATATGAAAATGATAATAATGCCATCCTGTAGTTTTTATGCATATAAAATTCTTTAAAATAAATATTAACTAATTTCTTACACACATTTTGGGTTTTCACATTATTGCTCAGATGGAGAGATACCGCCCCCCCACCGGAAACTAATATTCTCTGAATACCTAAATCACAAGTATTCTGCTAGGTGCTTTGACAAATATCATCTCATTAAAAAAAAAATAGTAAATGAAGTTTTATAGTTTTTTATGACCTACCAACCATAAGAACTGAATATTGGTATGTAGCAACATTATAGAGGTTAGCCTAAGCTAAAACCCATAGCATCTTTAAGAAAGGGTAAAGGAAAGAAGAAAACAAACAAACAAACAAAAAGAATACAACATTATATAAAGATTTTAAAAACAAAAACCTGACTGGACCACAGATATTCACATCACTGACTTTGACTAGAGTTTCATATTTAGTGAAAGGCATTTATTTATAAGTAGAGGGCAAATAAGTGCTGTAAGGCACGTACAATGGTACGAACATGGCAGGTTTTCAATAAAATAAGTTTTACTTCTGTTGATATGTTAATATGTTTGTTGTTGTTCATTTATCAGTCTAGTACAAATCAGCCTAAATAAGTAGCGTGGCATCGCCCTGTAAAACTCTGGAGGTCCCACCTAAGCTTAGTGTTCTCTGAAGTCCTCCATGATTTATTATCTGTTCCAACTAATTCAGTGCAAGCCTTATATTGTTATTCATCTTTCTACGTTTATGCACTGACTTTTTATGGCTTATATCTTCACAGCTCTAATACTATCGAATACAATTTAATAAGAGGTAGTTAACTACCTCAATTTATAACTACTTGTTATAAATCCTATGTTTCATGATATTATATCTTATCAACTATGTTCTGGAAAGAGAATTACACGTGTTTGCTCAACTCTGCTGACTCGCCATTGCTTGCAGAATAATAACCAAATTCCTGTGTATGGAACTCAAAGCCCTATCCTGTGGCCCTATGCTAGACTTCCATCCTACCTACATTCCAGCCACTACCACAGAGCATTTGCCAAACTCACTGTATACTTTTGTACCTCCAAACACTGGTCAGTATGATTCTTTCTGCAATTCCAGATGGCACACACTTACTTATTCTGCAAAGCTCACCCCATCAACTCTTCAGTGAAGCTTTCCCAGAACCCACCACCACTCCTACCACCCCCCCCAAACCCCTGCAGAGGGCAAATCCTTCCTCCGTTTGGCAGCCACTTTTATTAAAGTACTTTTCTCCTTTAGTAAAAGGAAATTATTATTATTAGTCTGCCTTCTCCTTTGTGAAACTTTCCAAGACTCCATTATTATTATTATTATTATTATTATTATTATTATTCTGCTTCCTCTTCTGTGAACTCTCTAAGCCTCCCATATCCAGAGTTAAGCACTGCATTTATTGCCCAACCCTGTCCCTCATACGTAATTCTCTCCCAGCACATAACACAGCACCCTGGCGTTACTTATCTTTATAATTACCTGCCCTACACAGATGTAGAGAACGAACGTATGGACCCCAAGGGGGGAAAACCGCGGGGGGGTGGGGGGGTGGTGTGCTGAATTGGGCGATTGGGATTGACATGTATACACTGATGTGTATAAAACTGGTGACTAATAAGAACCTGCAGTATAAACAAACAACAAAACAAAACAAAAAATAATTACCTGCCCTATTAGACACTGTGCTCCTTGAGGACATCATCTCATTCATCATTGCACCCCCAGAGCCTAGTCAGCACTTGATACACAGTAGATGTTCAATAAATGTTATTAAATTAATAAACAAAATACAATTGCTTTCTGCCAAATCAGAAAAGAACTGGTACCGAGCATTCCGTTTAGACACCTGCCTCCTTAGCATTCAAGCAGAAACCTTGCTCTCCAGTGATTAAACAAGAGCAAAACAAAGTGGATGTGCAGAAAGTAAGGTGACTGAAGGAACTGGGGAGAAGTTAGGCTTCCAGCAAGGGCAAAGGTAGACCCTTTACATGTTGAACAATTCCCTCACGTTAGCTCCAGGAGGGTTATTTACACAGCAATGACTGCTGTAAGCAATGCTTTGCTAACCTTCAGTAAGATAATCCCTAATGAAACTGCTTCCTCACCTCCACTAAGTGACAGATAAATGTCCATTTCTGCATAGACATTTCCTTAGAGAATAATCGACTGGGAATATAACAACTACATGTATTTTTAACATCAGTTAATTATACAAAAGCATTTAATATATATAATTTTTAATGAAAAGAACACAAACCAGAATTAATGTGGCATGATGTTAAAAAATTACTGTATCCTAACATGCCTACTCTATATCACAAGAAAATATCTGTACTCATGTATACTACAGCATAATCTTTTTCTATGTGTTCTTGATTTAACTTCTGGATGGTATAAATCAGAAACAGCAAAATGAAGAGACTAGGATGTAAAACCTACTGTAAATATGACGAAAGATATGGGAAGACGCAGAGTACAATTAATTCAGCAAATATTTTTGAAATGCCAGGAAATACAAAAGGCATAAAGATGCATAGTGTAATGCCACTGCTTTCAGGAAACTTATCTGAAATAAAGCCTTCCACTACAATATACTCACAGAACCGAGCAAACATAAGTAAGGATAGCATTGAGCTTGTCTTAAAAAGAAAAATGTTATGTACTATGACTAACTGGTTGCTCTGTTTTCTACAAAAACAATTATCTTCAACAGATTTTAACACTCTTTCTACTGAACACATGGAGGTAAAAAAATTTTTAGGGACCTCGCTGGTGGCGCAGTGTTAAGAATCCACCTGCCAATGCAGGGGACATGGGTTCGAGCCCTGGTACGGGAAGATCCCACATGCTGCGGAGCAACTAAGCCCGTGCACCACAACTACTGAGCCTGCGCTCTACAGCCGGCGAGCTACAACTAATGAGCCCACATGCCACAACTACTGAAGCCTGGGTGCCTAGAACCTGTGCTCCACAGCAAGAGAAGCCACCGCAATGAGATGCCCACGCACTGCAACGAGCAGCCCGTGCACCACAATGAAGAGCAGCCTCCACTCGCCGCAACTAGAGAAAGCCCACGTGCAGCAACGAAGGCCCAACACAGCCAAAAATAAATAAATATATTAAAAAAAATTTTTTTAAACAAAATGTATCTCAAGCTATAAACATTCTGAGAGCCAAAAACTACTTTAAGAGAAAAATAAACATAAGGTGACTACATTTCGACATTTAAAAAATCTTCACTTCATAATAATTAAATGCTCTACACATACAAATTATTAGAGTTATACTTCACAGATACAACATTGTTTATAAAAGTTTTAACTGTTCTTGACTTCTTTGAACTGCTCTTGGCCTGTTTTCTCAGAGGGAAAACACCTATACTTAGTAGGACAATATGCAAATGCTGGCCTTTATATCAAAAATAAAATTTACCAGCAAAAAGTTGGCATAAAGGTTTCTATTGGCTGAAAAGTATATCTTCCTCCTCTAAGTTATAGCTTCCTAACTCTCTCTTTTGTAATGTAAAAGCTAATTTGAGTAATGGATATAAGAATACAGACATATTTAATAGATGCTATCTCTTACTCATTTTTTTTAGGTTTTGAGAAAACCTCTTCACAACACAATTTCAAACAGTGGTTCTATTATAGTTGTGTTTTTGACTAAATATAAGGTGCTTAAATTGTTTTAGAAAGTAAACAGATATTAATTCATAATTGGAATTCTAATTGGGCACAACTACTAACTCATCCCGCTCAAGAAATTGTTTTCAATTATTTGTTACTAAAAATTATTTATTTTGCATGCTATTGAAGACTTCTTTACCTGCAGATGGCTGGGAAACATTCCTGAAGACCTTTCTTTTTAACTAAAGATCCTTCAAGGCAGTACATAATGATGTCCATAACCTTTACAGAAAAGACACAAATCTAAAATTAGTTTCAAATACTTAATTTTCCATAATTTAAATTATTAACTTAGGCCTCATTTGCATTAAAATTCTACATAGTTTGATTTTGATATTTACTTTAAAACTACAGTATATTTACTAAAATTACAGTGTACTTACTTTATACTATAGGCCATCCTTTCTCTTACCTGTGAAAACCAGTTTTTAAAGACAGCACACAGTAAAATAAAGAAACCAGACTTGTTTACTTGAAAGGCAATTCCTATTTATGTACAGGATAGGTAGCTTTTATTCAAGCACACTCTATGTTCTGTTTTACTTATAGTGAAAGATACGGAAGAGACTATAACCTTTAAAAACTACTCTAATACAGTCCATTCCATGTGAATGGTAAATGGACATAGCAATCATTTTGATTTTTGAGGAAATTTAAATCAAGTCTCTAGAAATGATACAAAAGTTCATTCATTTTAGTCATCTCTTTCTTTCTTTTAGAGGTGCTGGAAATAAAGATGCTGATTTATATTACTACACTAGAATATTTAATTTAGCTGTGGATGTACTGATATAATCTAAAACAGAATATTCTTACCTCCACGAGAAGATCCACGACATCCGTGGGCATCTTTTCAATAAGAATTTCAATGACTCTCAGAATTTCCCCTTTAGCTCGGGCAAGAGTTGTGGTGTGCATATTCTGCTGGGATTGGGTATTTGCTGCAAGAGCAGTATGTCTGTGCACCTAGAAAAATATTTCCATGTTGCAGATATGGTCGACACTTGATACACTTTTACATTTCTAGCCACTGGTTTTTCACTTACTAATACAACAGAAAAAAAAATCAACAAAAACAAATGTCTTGGGGTGGGTCAGGAAACACTTTTAAGTACAAAGAAAGTACTTAGTACAATAAACACTCAGTATGTATTCCCTAATAGAATTCTAGTTCTTGGGCATTATATGAGACTTTAATACAATATCACCATGACATTTTTAAAAAGGGACAAACAGAAGGTTTGTGAATCTTGCATATTCAGCATTGAGGTGGGTAGCAGTTAGGAGACACCAGCACGTATAAGACATGATTCTTGTTCTCAAGTAATAATGGTAAATGATGCTTACATAGCACTTACTGTGTCCCAGGCACCATTCTAGGTGCTTTATAATCAAGTTGGGAAATTAAAAAAAAACATACCTCCAAAAATAATGAACACTGTGTAAACACAGCTGACCCTTGAACAATGCTGGGAGTTAGGGGCGCCAACCCTCCACGGAGTTGAAAATCCGTGTACAACTTACAGTTGGTCCTCTGTGTCCAAGGATTCTACCACCCACAAGAACGTTCAGTCCTGTAGTATTTACTACTGAAAAAAATTCACATATAAGTGGACCTGCGCAGTTCAAACCCATGTTGTTCAAGGGTCAACTGTAATGTAAGTTCAGTGTGATTTTTCTTCCTTGTACAAATTGTAAGTCTTAACAGTTCAAAGGAGAAACAGCATTAACAGGCCCTGGGCCAGCCATGCAGGAGTGGGCATGGGGATGGGGTTAGGGACAGCTGTGAGAAATACTTCAGTATTTTACTCTAAACCTCTAAGTGAAGTGGAAAACTTTTTTTTTAAAGTTAATAAATGTGGACTATTACATTAAAATATTAGTTAGAACACTAAGAATGTGGGAATCATTGGCAATTAGACCATTAACATTAAAATATTTAAAAATTACCTTTCTAGTCAAATGCTGGAGTAGAACAAACCCCAAGCATGGCTATTCTAACAGTTCATTTAAAAATACTCATATGTAAATGGTGAAAATTAAGTTTAAAAACACAATTAATATAAAATACTTGTTTACTCTCTTTAAAGAGGCAATTTAATGCCTGGCCTTTATAAGACCTGTATCTGTATCAGACTAACGTAAGGCTTATATAGTATATTCAATATTAGTATCTCTGTATATTCCACTGATATGAAAAACTGGTAAAAAAAAATCCCACGTCTAATAAATCTGTTCATTTATACATACATATACTTTATAAAAATATATACTATCTATAAAATATAGACATATATATATGTATATTTTAAACACAGTGGACTCTCAGTGCACCACTATGCACTATTAGAAAAACATAGCCCCTTAGTCTGCAAATCTATTTTAGGTGTGAATTCAAAGTCCCACTGCCTCATATAAACCCATACAATCTGCTATTAGGCCCTTCTTTCCTCCCTTCTAGCTACATTCATGTCACAAATATTTGCTGCATGCCGATTAAGGATGGCTCTGGGGCAGACATAGGCCCAGTAGGTTGTAGGTTATCAGGGCAGACTCCGAGGTATTTATTTAGTTTTTTAAAAATTCATCTTAGCTACAGGAAAAACAACTCAGGCAGAGCCCATACCCCACGGACACTGAGCCTGCACATTATTCACGCTAAAATGGAACAAACCTTTAAAGAAAATTTAGGAGTTTATCTTCCTTGCCTTTTCTCCCACTACTAAGACCTATAGGAAAGACCTTATAATTGGTTCATTGTTCTTTACTAGTTTTCAGTTAGATGTGGGCAATTAGAGCACTGAGAATTCGGGAATCAATTGGCATTCAAGTCTTTATCTGTGATATGTAATAGGAAAAACAATTAGCAAGTTTATGACTTACATTTTTGTTTACAGTTGGAGAGCCAGTGTTAAATAAGTTTTGTTTTGATTATAGGTAGATACTTACACTTGTAAAATGTGGATACCTTTAATATATTTTAATTTGAACAAGCCTGCTATATTTCAGATTGAGAAATTACTGTAAATACAAATATTTACAAGTGAATTAACGTTGAGAACAGAAATGACTACAAAAGCACAAGTAATGAATGCACTGCCGTGGAATTCAGTGTGCACGCACACAGGTACATACGTATTCATCCCAGCCCTAAATTATTAACTTGCATTGTTCTAGAACAAACTGTAAGGATTATCTATAGATACGGACCCTCGGCTCACAATATGAGATAATTCCTCTAAATGCAAAGATGGAGCACACTGAGAAGTTCCTCTCACCTCTTTGGCTATAGTCGTGATGAAGGCGGGTGGTCTGGCCGTGGCAATGAGAGACAGGGCATGCCTCGAGGAGCGGGCAGAGTCAGCTGCAGGGCTCAGAGGCAGCCCCATTGTGATGCTAAACAGGGATCAGAAAAAAAGGAAGAAAGAAAAGAAGCATTAGAAATATAGACTTGAAAAGATTAGACACAGCTTATAATGTCAGTTCAAGGTCAATGGGAGCACTCAAACAGTTAGAATATAATGGACTTGCAACAATGAGCAGTGATTAGGAGTCAGGGTGTTCTGGCATCAAATACAAAATCGAATAATTAACCGTGAAGATTGAAAACAGTATGTGCATCTGTCCAAAGTGTTAAAAACGCCTTGTTAACAAATTATCAAGAACTAGTACTGAATACATATCACATAGCTCCGAATAAGGCAAGAAAGAATATTGTGCAGAGCATTTTCAATGTTTTTTCCTTAAAAAACTTAAAGGTAAAAATTTGTTTATAAGGCCAAGTTGAAAGGCTGTATTTAAGGCCTATATCTGAGAGGAAGCAAAATTCACTCCTGTCCATAAAATTACCGAAGGACTGAAAATCACAAAATTATTTTTAGCTTATATATTATTTTTAGTTTGAAATACCCTCAGTAGCGCTAGTTTACCCTACACTCAATACTTTCAGAACCAATCGAATCAGCACTTTCTGCCAGTAGGTATTCAGTATTGTTGCAAAAAATTCTATTAACTGATACTTACTCTCTCTCTATAAAGAACATACACATGACATGGTCCAGGCTATATACAAGAATATGTACATGATGAAATAAATCTTTCTAGCGTGAGAGTATGTCATGATAGGATAGTGATGCTATATTTTCCTTTGCCACACCTAAAACATAAAAATGATAATATTCTTCTGTTTGTAAGCTTCCTTTATATTTTATATAGACTACTGTGAAAAGTATTAAGACTTTTCTTTCATTGAAACGTGGCACGTGACCCACACATCAACTGTGTACAGGGACTATTTTGTTACCCAGTAAGAGATCCATTATCGCTTCTCTCGCTAGTTAAATAACCTTGGTATTTAAATATCCATATGAAATTATATTAAGATCTGTCCTGCTCCAATTAAATAATCTTTGTGTTTCATGTGTCAAATGAATTACATTTACTAAAAATTTTCAGGAAGTTTACAAGTATCTCTATAATTGATCTAAGAATCATTATTTTAACTTTTAGTTGAAAATAAGGAGGCATCATATAGGCATTCCCATCATTCTTAAAAGGTAAATTGATTATAGAAAATTCTGCTTATTTCTTGGTGACTTTTACATTGCTCAGTCTCTGTCTGATAATATAACTGTCTCTACTCTTTTTTTCCAAACTGAGGGTAGACACAAAGCGGGAACTCAGAGGAGAAGACAATGGAGAGCTTTCCTTTCATGTTTACCGCAAAAAAGACAGATGTGAGCTGAGAGAGCAAACACACATAGCGAGCAATAAACAGAAGGGATGCACTGGTGGGCGCATCACCCCCATGGAAGGTCCTGATGCCTTCGGGACCCAATGGGGGCTGGACAGAGATTCTCATCAGGAGAGCAGTTTCTCTTCTGGATTAAACTTTATTATTGAGAATTCAGGAAAAGAAATGTTTACTAGGTGAGTAGTGCTGGGCTAGACTGCTTAAAAAATTATTGTCAAAAAAATTATTGTAAAGTTTTAGATCATTATTAAGCTAAGTTTTAAAAAATTCAAAAGCTAAATTTTTCAGATGCTCTATGATGTTTCCTGTCATCAATGTGGATGAATAGATGTTGATAATATTGAAAGCCTGAAACAAACAAAAATGGTATGTTAATTGAATAATTCTGAACAAACCTAAATCAACTTTCCTAAGATCAGTGAAACCACAGGATGTTGAAGTTGGAAAGATCCCCTAGGCAACATCCCTGCCAAGTAGTCAGCCAGGGAGAAAGAGTGGCTATTTCCAGGGCGGCCCACCCCACATGTGGGACGCATAAGAGGAGGAAAAAGAACTGGACGGGAACCGTAGGTAGAGGGTTGAAGTGGAGCTTCCCTGTGCTACTTCATGTCCTCTTGCATCTGCCCAGAACATCCCTATGAGGTGGTGATATCAGCATTTTACGAGGGAGAAATCAGGTCCAGAGAAGTTCAGTGAAGAGCTGAGGTAGCAGCGTAATGTCTCAGGACAGCCGACCTCTGGAGAAAATTAAGGGGGAGCGGCTGGACGATGCTGTGGGTAATTGGATTAATGAATTGCTAACACGACTAAACTCAGCACTTTTGGATGCCTGGCTAGACTGCATCCCTGAGAGAGCTTTCTAGTGGTATGTTGTAATACATGGACCTCCGCTCTGTTTTATTCAGTATCAACAGTGGATTGAATGAAGATACAGGATGCACGGTTATCAACTGGTACGGAGGTAAAGTTGTAACAGAGAGCAGCTGTACTAAATAACAGAACTGGAAATCAGAAACCCTCAAAAAGATCAAATTCAGCTAAAGAAAGAAGTCTTACATGTGGGTACCGATGACCAACTTTACAGGTAGGTATAGGACAGGCGATGGCCGAGCTTATGAAACAGACCTGAGGGTTGTTGTACTTGAAACTTACATCCGTGTGTTGGTGACGTGGCTACCTGCAGGGCTAGGCTGAATCAAGGAAAATACAAGGATAGAGAAGATGTTGCCCCTGCTGCCCTTCCTGGCTCTGGGTGCCCTCCTCATGGATGTATTGCTCGCTAAGAGATGGGGCCTGGCTTCCACAGGACAGGCGTTACAGCATCCTCCTGGAGTCCGTGTAAGTCCTGCCCATTCCCAGCTGTGCTGTCGTGACCTCTTGCAGTTGGAAAGCAGAGTTTTATTCACATAAACAGGATCCTTGCAAACTCACCGCCCACCTCTAAGTCCTCTCTTCCACCCCGTCTCTGTTCCTTGCATGGAGGAGAAAAGTTTAGTGGGATGCTAAGAAGGGGCCAGGGGAGGCGAGGCAGAGGGGAGAAAGAGAGAGAAAGAAAGAATAAATACACATGGATATGCACATGTGTGTGTGCACCTGAGGGTGGGGGAGGTCAGCTGACAGACTTCCAAGGCTCACGCCACAGTGACAAGTGGATATTGTCCCCCTGCCCTCATGCTGTGCCCTGTGGCCACCCTAGACTGAATAAGCACAATGTCAGTAAAATGGTTATATTAAAATACCGACTTCACCAGGTTGATGAGAAGATTGAACGAGATAACAAATGCAAAGACATCTGGCCCTGCCTCTGACAGTTATAGGTACAGCAGGTGCTTCTTCTCAACCAAAGATGCCTCTTACAAGTAGAAACAAAGTGAAAAGAAAACGAGATCAATGAATGGCAGGTCACTAGTTTCAAGTTAAAGGCTTAGTCACACATTACCCTTCCTCCTCAGCAAATGACCTTGTGAATCTGGGGAAATTGGCAAACTTCTTATAGGAAGAAAAGTGATAAAGTGGGGGTAATGGGGAAGGAAGCGAACCAAAGACATAGAAAAGTGCTGCCCGTTGGATTCCAGCTGTTGGGAAGCTGGACCACCCAACAATCTGTAGAGGCACCAACGTGTGCATTTGAGTGATTCCTGTCATCAGTGTCTGGCAGTCTGAGGGCAGGACTTCAGAATGTGGAAGCAGCTCTTGCTCTGAGGTCAGGGCTCTGCAGTGACCGTGAGAGCATCCACAGTGCACAAACGGGTGGGCTGTGAGCGTGATAACAGAAAGGAGTCGCCCAGGCAACAGGGGCAGAAGAGAAACCTTGTCTCTCCTGTCTACAGCCTCTTCAATGCACCCCTGCCAGAGTAATCTTCCCAAAGCACCAACTTTATTTCATGGTTAACCTGCTTAAAAACCACACTGGGTCCTAGTGCTTAGAAAAATCTTAAACTCCTTGGCTGGAGATTCCAGGCCCTCCATAATCTTGTTTTGCTAATTTAACTCAGTCATTTCCACACCCATGCTCCCGAGGCCAGACTAATTTCAAAGCTGGTCCCTAAAATTCGATTCCTTTTTTAATCGTAGTATTTTGCTAATGCTTCTCTGCTACCCCTTTCCCCACTAGCACACTCTCCTCTCTCCCCTCTGTTCAATTCTTGTGGAAGCCCACGTGGTATTCTGCAATTGCTACAGCACTCAGTTACCATCTATTGAAACAAAAACAACCAACGACAAAACCTGTTCATTCCGGGCCCTTAGCACTGACCCTCATTCTGAACTAGTTTTATACTGTGAACCAATAAACAGGTTAGGACCATGCCTTCTAATCCTGTGTACCACCCCCTACCCCCTGCAATGTGCCTAGTACAGCCCTTGGACATAGTGGTAGCTCAATAGTTAAATGAAGGTAAATGAAGTTACCTGGCAAATGCCGCAGGAAAAAAAAAAAAAAAATCACTTAAGCCAGGTATTCGACTGAACTGACCAAGAAATGAAGTCAAAGTAATTGATCTGGTGGTCCCAACAGACAAAGTCTAATTCTGCATGTAGTTATCTTGAAAGTCAAAAGTGTACTGGGTGTGTGATATATTTTAATGTGGAATTCTAACTGAAAAGGAAGGATCATACTATCAGAGGCTTGAAATTAAAGGGGATGTCTGCCTTATTCTGGAATCTGTATGTAAACACAGAACTCACTCTTTTCACCTGATCCTGCTTATCTGGCTGTTATGCAGATCATTTGTTACATAGGTTTATAGGGTGGGTCTTTGTTTCAGTCTTTATTCTGAAAAATATGATATGACACACTCTCAGTTTTACTCAGCATTTCAGTATACACATCCAATACGAAATACCAGAGATGATAGATATTATAAATAAAAACCATGAACAGAAAATAGTCCACTCAGGCCAAGCTCAATCCTTACTTGACTGCTCATTAAATCCTGTTCTAACCCTTACTCCATGGCAGTAAAAGCTTTTTAAAACTTACATGTAAGACCACCTCAGTTAAATGTCACTGTCTACAATTGTCAGACTTCACCCATCTGTCAAATTATGGAACACCATAAGGGAATATTCAGGGTGGGGGGAACACAACTTTCATAGAATAACCTGCAAATCATAGTCAACACGATTATGGACTGAGTGCTTG